TTGTGCAGCGTACTGAAAACGGCATTTTTCCAGAAACACTGTCCCCATTACTGATCATCCACACACCTCACTGCAGTCAAATGTTTTTTTAAAGAACAATATCTTCTCAGGAAAGTAGTTCCAAAAAAGAAAAAACATCCACACTGAGATCTAGATTTTTGAGAGTAACCATGAAGCTTGCAACCAATGCATTCACAGATACCACTAGAGGCAAAAGAAATATGGATGCATGTAGCTAATTTAAATGCAGTCACTGAGGAAAAAAATACAGGAGGCCTAAACATAAAACTTGTATGTTTTAATCATCTTGGCCAAAATGCTTGACTTCATGTACTGTATCTGTTTCAGCCATAAATTGACTGAGGAAGAAAAAAAACAACATTTGTACAGGTAACTTATCATTCAAAGAACATATTCTTAATTGTCAATCACTCATATCACTTGAGCAAACATAAGCAAGGTTTTGGGGGGGGGGGGGTCTGACAAGTCCACCTATGCTTCAAGGATTTCAAAGCTCCAAATGGACTGAAACTGGTCACTCACATGTGGTGATGGTCCTCACTTTGCTAGCACTTCCGACGCCGACCTGGTTAGCTGTGTAAACATAGCAGTCGTAGTTGCTGGCGAACTGCAGGTTACCCACTACAGCGGAGGTGGTGGTGTAGGTGAAGTTAAATGTTTGTCCAGTGGCCTGAGAGACCACCATCAGAAAGTAGTACTGTGCCGACGGTACAGCAGTCCATTTCACAAAGATGGAATAACTTGTCAGTGCCTGGCCAGTATCGATCTGTGCCGTGTCGGGGACTAGAAGGAAAGAGCAGGGGAGGCAGCATCATTAGCAAACAGCGTTGTGTGCATTTTGCACCTAAAGATGCAATCTGAATGGACTGAAATTTCATACGTTATCTGTTGTTCAAATAACTCTTGTGGGATCTCAGTGTATGGGCTAAATCTTCTCTTAAAATTCTGTGTAAATAATAGTACTTTGCTAAATATACACAATATACAATATCACCTCGGGGGGAAAAAGCATGGTGATGCTGCCCTAACAATAATTCCAATTGTTGTAAGAGATGGTGCACCTACTCTATGTAAATGGCTTATTCTTTACCTGTGGACGCCTCAGTTGTATCAAAACACGCTACCATGTAGAAGTAGAAGACTTTGAGAGTCACATTGTAGTTAGTTCCAGGTCTCAGACCCTGGACATCCTTCTTTGTCACGGAGCTTGGCAGAGTCACCACAACCGGTGCAAGAGTTGCATTGTTTTTTACCCGAAGGTCTACAAAATAGTTTGTTGCCCCAGGGTATGGTCCCCATTGTACCAGAATTGATGAAGAGCTCGAGGGATTTGCTGACAAGATTGGGCATCCTTTAAGACATGGAAATACATGACACTGAAAACAAGAGCTTGGTTTGAGAACATACTTATGGTTGTATAACAGCAGACATTAAAGAGAAAGTGCATACACATTCATTAATTATATTTTCAGTTCATACATCTAATCTGAATTACACACATCACATTCCATTTAGTGTGACACTTTAGCTCCAGTGATCCATTCTGATTTAGAAATATTGATTAGGAATGCACATTTTGTTTTGTTTTTTCTGACTGATAACCAACGCTCATTGATTATTAACATTTAAAAATATTAAAATGCTATTCTATTTAGAATGAATGTCTGTGACCCATTAAAAATATTTTTTTTCCAAAAGTGTGCACAGCATAAACAGCAAGAGAACATGAATATTGTACATTAACAGAACATACACATCGTCACATCACACACCTGTGGAACTATGAACGGAGGAAAGCAGTCCTATAAATGGCTTCTGTGTGCTGCTGGCCTGAGGCAGTTCACGTTACTGAGACAGTTCACATTACTTCAGGGGTGTGTGATATCATATTAGATGCGTGCCATGAATTTTAAAGTTTTGTTCAAAGTAAAACACTCTCATGGTCTTAATTTCTCTGAAAACTGCAGGTACCAGCAAGATCTTAATCGTACCAGTAAACATAAGAACCAACTTATGTGCCCTATAAGAATTGTAGGACAGAAAAAGATGAGAGAGGCGGGTATTGAGCTTTTATAGTTTTTAATTTTAATTCGTATTTACTTGATTTTTTGATCGGAATTGATAATCTACAACTAAATCAAATATGGTTATTGATTATTTGGGCCCAACTAAACTTGATTTTTTTTTTTTTTTTCAAAAGAAAGAAAATCAGGTGCAGACTGACTACAAAGATGCAAAATGAGCAAAAAAAGGCACAGAATGACGGATTATAAATCATGTGGTTGCTCAGTCTGTGAGTCTTAGGACAGGTAGGGGATCTGAACTAGAGTAATTCTTAGCTGTAATTTCTATCATTTTTACTCAGCTCGGGTTCGGGCTCGCGCGTTAAATGAGTGGTCACGTGATGCGTTTCAATTAGCGCGAGAAAGATGCATTGCGAAGAACGAAGATGGATGAGGTGAAACAAGGGCTTGCCTCTGGCGTATATTTTTTGGTTACACCAGCAGCAGCTAAGTCTGAGGTGTGGCAACATTTTGAACATGTGCATAACGAGAACAATGACCCAGTGGGTTATGTAAAATACAAGAAATGTAACGTTCTCTTAAAATACGACAGCAAAACGAATTCCTCGCTGAGAAGGCATGTTGAGCGATGCTGTGTGCGTGCGCCGTGCGCACATTTGAATAATGTCGGGCTGTCAATCAAAAATGTACTTGTCGGGCTCGGGCCGGGCTCGGGCCGAATTCTGTCGGGCCTAACTTTTCAGGCCCAATTACAGCTCTAGTCTGAGGTCGTCCGCTGTCCAGGTGAGATGCATAGCATCTCCGGCCCATCAATAGGGCAGAAAAGAGTGCTGGCAGCTCGTGAGAACTGCTGGTACGCCAAAGAGTAACCTGCAGAAGTGTTGGTACTGTGTACCTGCGTGTACCGGGACTGAGATTAATGGAAACACACACTGAAATCTCAGGTGACTGTATCATAAACCTCCTCCTCTGCTCTCGGCTTAATAATCAAAACCCCCAACAGGTGAATAAAACAGAAACTCATAGCCTACTGGTTTTTGTTCAGAAAGAGCAACATGTCAACATGCTGTGGATTTTGTCTGTTTACTATGAGACCTGCGGTGGACAATAGCCAATCTGGTGGTACCGATGTACCAGAAATGCAAATATAGTGCCTCACTAGCATCCAGCTTGGGGAAGCCTGTCTGATTAGCTTTCCACCATGAGCCCCTATGAGTTGATGTTGACCCAATAGCCTATTTTTCAGCAAACTCTTTTAGAAAAAAATTTAACAATATAACTGCTAGTATTAATCAGTTGAAATTCTTATTGTAGGTTAAACAATTTGGTGTGCATCACTAGAAGATATAGCTAATACTTTTTTAAAGGTTATGCAGACACACAAATGGGGCCTAGATATAATTTCTTGGTTTACTTACCTGCTGTGCTACCAGCTGCACTACTTGGTATCTGTAAATAATAAGCATAATGCAAACAGTAATGGTGCAAATATCTTGATATACTTTACAGTTTTGCAGATTTTAAAATAAAAATGCTATTTACCTGAGTCAGAAATGCCAGAGCTAAAGAAAAGCCTATAGCTCCCAACAATCCCATCTTTTCCATTGACTGTGGGAGACAAACACAAAAGGTGCTCTTGATTCTTTTGAGTTTTAGTCCAGTAATCGTGGGAACCAATCAGTACTGTGCAAATGAGGACAGGCTGTCCCACCAACAGCCCCAGGCAATCGGATCTGCACTGAAAAGACAAAAGAAGGGAGGGATGGAAGTTTACCTGAAGTGAGGATGACAAGATCTGTTTTTCTGTCCTTCTCTCCTCCTCACATTGGCTGCATGCCACATGTCTATCAGTTTGCATAACCTCCATCAAGGCAGTTTGTCCAATAATCAATCAGTGTTTCACTATGAACACAGACAACTCAGAACTAATGTGCTACTGTGTCACTCTTATTTGTGAAATGTTTAAGTTTGAGTAAGTCTTGTATTTGCTAGCATTCAGCAGTGTCGGACATTACATACAGTATGACGCCCACATCTGGTGAGGCCCCACATCCATCGATGCCCCCACCTGGACCTGCTGCGGAGCTGCGCAGGGGAATCAGCCTGCTGTCATATGGTGTTGTCCCAGTCCTGACTGACTGCATGGGCGCTTCTTCCTTCCGTGGCTTCTTGCATACGAGCCCTCGCCAGTTCGTCTGGTGGCTGGCCCCTTGCTGGCCCCTTGCTGGCCCTGGTGGTGTAGATGAGCCTCCAGCCAGCCGCTCCAGTGTTGCGGTTGGGCACGGCCGTTTCCTACCAGCAGTGTGGAGAGCCACGACATGAGAAGCTACAGTATATATCTGCACATTTTAAACTAGATTTGTAATTAGATAATGGGCTTATATTTAACTGCTTAGAGTTTACACCCTGTAGAGTTCAAAAAGCAATAATGTGGTTTTTAACAGATTTACAGATGTAAAGCTTTAGTTTTACATAATGTAACTATCCCTTGCCTCAGCCCCCTGTAATCTCACTGTTCCACTTCCCTCCCTCTCCTTCATACACATGTATTCTGTCTTACCAAGACTGACTTTCATTCCTCTTCTTTCCAGAGCAGACCTCCACCTTTCCAGGTGTTCCTCCACCTGCTCTCTGCTCTCACTACAGATCACAATGTCATCAGCAAACATCATTGTCCACGGAGATTCCTGTCTGACCTCATCTGTCAACCTGTCCATCACCATAGCAAACAAGAAGGGACTCAAAGCCGATCCTTGATGTAGCCCCACCTCCACCTTGAACTCCTCTGTCTGACCTACAGCACATCTCATTACTGTCATACTCATTCGCACTGATGATTCGCATGTTGAAATTTGGCATGTTTTTACACCGGATGCCCTTCCTGACGCAACCCACTCTATTTATCCGGGCTTGGGACCGGCACAGAAGTCACTGGCTTACCCTGTGGCTAGACTGATTATTTAAGATTGATACCCATTTATTTATACTACTTAAGTCCCGACTCCTCATAAATGTTCTTGTGTTCATGTCCTGTTTTGTAGGACATATTTCAGTGTGCTAGTGTTAGCTCAAAAGCTATCATTTAGCTACGGTTAGTTGCTAATTACATCTTAACAAAAGCCATAATTTAGCTGCGGTTAGTTGCTAATTACATCTTAACAAAAGCCATAATTTAGCTACCGTTAGTTGCTAATTACAGCTTAACAAAAGCCATCACTTAGCTACCATTAGTTGCTAATTATAGCCTAACAAAAGCCATAGCCATCGTTAGTTGCTATTGATAGCAAGGGACAAGGTAACACTAATGTTAATCACTTGCAGGTTAGTTACTAAATGTATTTAGTAATTATAAATTATTAAATTGAACTAGAAAATTGCATTTTCTAAAGAAATGCGTATGGATGCCGAGTGCTGAAAGATCACCCTGAAAATGCTGAACATTTTTACACCTGAATGGTTTTGCTAGCTGAAAGTATGCTGAAGTTTGAATTTCCTATTCATTTGAATGGGGCAAGATTTTCAAAATAAAGCTAAATATTTAAAATGTATGAAGTTTTGAAAACTTCGGAATAGTAGTATGAATGTCCTTGAAGAGCTGAACATTTTGATTATTGAAAAAAGCTGAAAGTATGCTGAAGTAGAATTTTCCCATTCATTTGCATGGGACATGATTTTCAAAATAAAGCTGAATATTTAAAATGTATGAAGTTTTGAAAAATTCTGAAGAGAAGCATGAATGTCCTTGAAGAGCTGAACATTTTGATAGCTGAAATAGCTGAAAGTTTGCTGAAGTAGAATTTTACTATTCATTTGAATGGGGCAAGATTTTCAAAATAAAGCTAAATATTTAAAATGTATGAAGTTTAGAAAACTTCTGAATGAACATTTTAATAGCTGAAATAGCTGAAAGTATGAAGAAGTAAAAATTTCCCCATTCATTTGAATGGGGAAAAATTTTCATAATAAAGCTGAATATTTTAAAAAATATAAAAGTTACAAAAAAGTTGTATACAGCCGCGCATGTCCTGAAAAAGCCAAACATTTTGATACCTGAATGGCTTTTCTAGCTGAAAGTATGCTGAAGTAGTTAAGTGCCAAAAAACATACGGAATAATAATAATAATAAATAAAGAAATAAATAATTGGAAAACATAGTATGGATGCTGAATCAGCATCCATACAATTACATTATTAAATTCATGTTGTC